ATTTTTCTTAAAACACTTAAAAATATATTTTTAGCAGAAATTGTCTTTAGCAAAAATTTTAAACAGTTTATTTTTTCATGTCATAAATTAAATTTCTTTTTTTTCCTTTATTTCTAAGATCTTAATCCATATCATAAAGTATAAGCTTAAAGAAATGCTACAATTTCTAATAACAAATTTAAAAAATTCTCTAAATAATATCAAAGTTTGAAAGAAATTTATATTACTTTCGGATAAAGTAACTTATAATTTAAAATAAAAATTACTCAAAGTATTATTCAGAAAATATCCTCCTTTGCAAATTGAATATAAATTTTAATCTCACGTGTGTAAATAAATTAGATATTTTTCTTTCGCAGCAAGAATGTTTAACAATTTAAATTACACTTCCTCACTATTTTATTTTTTGGATGAGGACTTTCATAGCCATTTCTATTTTAGATTAACTTTAATCTCGATTGACTTACTCATCATCTTTTTTTAATTAGAAAAAAATGAAGAGTAAGTTGAATCGAGATTAAAATTAATCTATATTAGTGGAAACAAGCATCAATAAGAGTAACTTGCTATTTAGATGTCATATATTATTCATCTCGACAGGGTGGTTACAAAAGAAACGTGTTAGACAACAGAAACGTTTTCTGAAAGCTGCCAGCTTCAGTATAAGCAAACTGAATCGTGCAAAATCGAGCGGGCAATGTGCAGGAAGGAAATAAGAGAGAAGTTTTCAGGTCAGGTTAAAAAGCTCTCTCGGTTATTGGCCTGAGGTTATATGTGTAAGACTCCGTCAATCTTTATTGTGTTCAACGTTGCGACAAGCCATTGAGAGCGGCACCGAATAAACGAAGAAAATTACTAGCTTCTGGAAATAAGACTGAATTTTTATGTAACGGCGAAATAACGAAGTTTGTAGAGAACGCAAGTCAACTAAATCCTGACTTTACTGAAATGTGTTCCTTATAAAAGAAAAGTAAAACTTATAAGTATATGTAGAATTTTTGATGTATGAATTTTCTATATAAATGCACGAGATGAATCCCATATCAACTTTGTTTTCTTTTTCTCTGACGAAGTCGAGTACTGATACTTTGAAAATTTAGTTTCGATATATTTGACTCTATCTGAATAATATATATTACATTTAAAAATCAATTTTTAAACTTGTATACTTCTTAAAGAAAGACCCCGTATTTTTATTACAGTATATTAATTTAATATCGTTTACTTTTTATAAAAAATAATATTATTTATTATTCATATTTAATGTAATTTATCATACAGAGTATCTTCTAATTTTCCATACAAACTTTAACAATATGTGCAATAAGGTAAGAAAAAAACATTATATAAATATGTGTCCTAAAGTGCTTTATTAAAAAGTTATAAATAATATGAAATCTGCAAGAAACAATTTCACCTTAGTTTATATCCATACATTATGCCCATACATTACAATTGAACTGACGTTGACAAACTGTTTCTCGAATATAGCATATGGATTTTCATATGATTGTACATGACTGTTACGAAAATTGAAAACGCCGTTTCTCGTAAACATACACATGTCAGTCCATTACATCGATGTCAAACTTGTACATGGGTGGACGGACTTTAAAATGAAAACTTCTTGTTAGAAATGAAAAATTGTTTCTTGCAGATTTCATATTTTTACTATAATTTTTTAATAAAACATTTTAGAGCTTGTGTTTATGTAACTTTTTTTTTACTTCAACTCAAAATACATTGTTAAAATTTGTATGGAAAACCAGCGTCCTGTACAAGGGTAAAGAATATTAATTAACAAAGTTAATTATCAAAAGTAAAGTTTCTAATTAATATACTTTAATCCCATAATTGTATAGAGTTAAATATCATGTGTGCTTCATGTGTGTGTTCATGTGTGCAAGGTTGGAGATACTTTCTGATAACTTGCATTTCCAAGCTCAACTCTAATTTTGTTAAAATCGAAATTTCCTATATGTTGTGGTCGATAATTCAACTGCAATTTTCGTACCAAACACGTACATCAAGTATGCAAAGCACACGAAGCCACAATTTCGTTTCATTATTGTAATTTTGGAAGCATTTCTTATTAAAATACAATTCACTCCAGCTAGTGATTTAAAATTATTACAAGTTTCTTCATTATTAAAAAAGATATTCTACTTTTAACATACTACTTTAAAATATTAAAATTCTTATGTTAAAAGCCTTAATAGGCTTAAGCGATATGATATTCTTCATATCGAGTTGGAAATTGTATGTTAATATTATAACAGAAAAGTGTCAGATATTGAAAGAAACTAAAGTCTATATCGACACAAACTTGAAAATAAAATAAAATTTTGTCCCATTTTTGGTTACTTCAACCACTTATCCTTTTACATTTTGAAATTTTTTTAAAATATCCATCTCCTCTCTTTCTCTCTCAGCCTGATACTTTTATAAATCATCTCTATGCTTTGCTGCATCGAAATTTGCGAAAATATCTCTCGTACGTAAGCACTTCTACGTATCCTCGTAGGATCGTTTATTTCGTATAAGGCAGCAATGTATCATGTCGGGGCAGGCAGGACGGTCATGTCGGACGAGCCGGCCTTAATCTTACATGTGCCACGCTCCTCCTTCACGTTAATTTAGATATTTCTCATCGTCATCGTCCGGTTTATTCCCATCGCGCTTCCTCGTTTTCCTCTCCCACTTCTTCTATTTCTTGCTCTCTCGGGCAGAATGAGAGGAGAGCGCAAATGATCCCCCTCGAGGGCATTTACGTATCGTCCATACCTTAATCATGAGCGTCTCAAATGGCCAGTATAACGACTCACTTTAGTCATATTTAACATTTTAACCGGCAGTCGCAAAGGACACATATAAAGACTCATATGTACAATAGAAATTTCAATGTGAGGAATATATATATATATATATAAACATCTTTATCATGTTATATTATACTTTATTTTTTTTTTTGCATTATCGCAGTTCGATGTTTAGGGTTCTACACGATACAATACTTATTTTGAAGGTCTATCAAAATTACTTTCAAATCTGTATCTAATTAAACTTTAAAATACTTTTTTAGCAAAATTGTTCTTTCCGGTACATGTATGACTAGATTTATAACTAAAGGTATTAACTTCTTTCTTCTTTAATAATCTCTTCCAAGAGTAAAATCCTTAGTTCTTCATGCTCGTGCGCATAAAGATGACAACTTGAGAGGCGTGACCGTACAATAAGGGCGCTTGCATATTACGGTGATTAGTGTCACTATCCTCATATCAAGTCGCTTTACGAGTCTATTAAAGCGACCGGTTTCTAAGGAGTAATAGCATCGCCGCCGCCGCCGTCGTTGAGCTTATTTTAATAATGCTATTAAGTCACGTACTCATTCAGTTGAAACCATTTCTAAATACGCACTCTCTGTATCTCTCATTTTGCATCGTCAAAAGATTTTCGTCGAAACCGACGAGTCTTGAATCCCCGGGCGATTATGCGCCATTTCCTTTCGAACCACGACGCAGAAACAGGTTTTCGCAAAAGTGCGAAAGACATTGACTGGCCAGCCGCTATCAAAATCCATAAAAATGGAACCAATTTGTGTTTATATCCCGACACTCGTGTACTGCCTTTCGGCACAGTTCGCGAGCGGAGTAAATGAAGATAAGAAAATGTACATTCCTGTACGGCACTCTCTTTGCAGAATGCCACTTCTTGAATTCAACACATTCCGATCGTTACAAAACTTCTGAGATTCTAATTGTTAATTTGTAAAATTCTCAGGTTCTTTTTAAAGATAAAATGCAACATATGTTATATCGGAAATTTGTAGGAAAAGGTTTGTCAGGTAGAGATTTCAATTTTTTATGAATGTGTTTGCTTCAGAAATTGCGCCAGTTATAAATGTTTATATAAATGTATTAAATGACTCATATTTTAAAGATATTTGTGTATACAACTACATTTCCCTATAAACGAATGATTAATTACCACGATTATGACGGTATTCATAGTTGGGTAAATATTCTTATATTTAAGAGTGTCTTAAGTATAATCTTAAGATATCATAAAACTGTCATAAAATTGAATTAACATCTTAAAACTTTACTTAAGATGATCTTATAAGAAGAATAGACTATAAATAGCAGCTTATATGTGTATCTTTCAAGTTTATCCAAATATTGAAATTAGCGGTACGAAAATTTTCAAATTAATCCTTAATACATAATTAGTACCTAATAGTTAGGCACGATTAGATATAAAAATCGATTACTTTATCCTGCGCATTTATTTTCTTTGAAATACTAAGAGCAAATACTAAGAGCCTGATTAAATAATGATTTTTACCCTTTCTTTTTTTATTACATATTAAAATACTTTCTAAAGATGTTAAATATAGTAAGAACTATATGCCCTATATATATGAACTATATTACTATCAACGTAAATTAACTTTAATCTCGGTTCAACTTAGTTTTCATCTTTTTAGAAATTCTTAGGCCCACTTTCATCAACGTAACATCAACTTTAACCTCACTTAAATAATTTTTAACTAAAAGTGTGCAAACGAAAAATCAACTTGTCTCGGAATGTGATGAACAATCGAACTATAAAAAGTTAATTTTTTTCAAAAATTGAGAGGCCAACTTTACATAGTTTGTCGCATTTGAGTCTGAACTATGGAGAGAACATCCAAATATATTTAGAGATAGTCGACAGTGCGATTATTCGATAATTACAGGTATAGTTCGCGGTTACAAAATCGATTCGAATATCCCGACGTGTTCGAGCCTCACACTCTACGCATATCTGGCATCGCGCATATAATCGCACGCCCCCGACATCCACTCTCAGGGCCGTAGAACCCATCCGGCCGGTTTCCTGCGGGCCGCAGGGGCCCAACGGCAACGGAGGGATGGGTTTTAAAGGGGCCGCGGCAAAGAGCGGAGCCTCGGCTCGCGTGTGCTCTGACGCGGAAAGCCGGTTAGTCGGTCTCAATCCGTCGTGGCGTTCGTATTAAGCCAGTGCGTACTCCGAATCGCGTGTTCCGAACCGGCAAACTGACGACGGGACCGGAAACGTGGTGAAGAAGACCGCGCGGATTCATCGCCCTGACTCGCGTCTGTTCCGACGGCGCCCGAAGCGACACGAAACGCCAAACAAAAGATTCCTTTGTTTTTCGGTGTACCTTCGATTGTTATACATTTAGTGTTTTGGTGCACGTGGCTGCTGCGAATCGTGCACGAATTCGGTGTATCCGGACCTGCGCATAGAAGGTACGTTAATCTCGTTTTCTTTGCTAATCCCATGACGGCGCACGCGTCCTCGTGCGATTGGAGTCACCCGCGTGTTTTCATTGAAAAAACACAATATTAACCAAGAATTGGTTAATTAATGAGATTTTAATTTCTCAATATATACGGTGATACAATAGATATGACAATTGGGAATCTTGATACATCTTTCGTAAACATTGAAATTTTCGCGGAAAACGGAAAAGTTATTTAACAAAATATACAATGAAAAAAGACCTTTGGGCTCTTTATCTCATTTGAAATACCATAGTTTTATATAAAACAGAAAATTATTGCGAAATATTTTTACCAGACAACGTATATTTCTCATTTATATGAAAAAAGTACATGAAAAGTTCATATGAAAAGAAAAAACTCTCTAAAAGTGAAAAATCCTCTCTCCTTATTAAATTCAAATTTATTATGGAATTGTAGAACCTTTTTTCTCTTATTTTATTATTATGTTCATTTCTAATGTAGATTAACTTTAATCTCTCTTCATCTCTCTTATTCTTCATCTTTTTCTAATTTTTAAGACTTCTAATTCTTAGAAGAAGATAAGTAAGTTGAATCCAGATTAAAGTTAATCTACATTAATAGAGATCGTTAAAGATCGTTAAATTCTCGAGATGTTTACATATCTTGGATGCAAACAAAATTATCGTTATTAATCTTTCTACATGTCTTTGAAACAATTATTATTAAATTTATGAGACTGAAATGTTCGTGATTTCGCAGAACGTCTACTCCATAAAATCTCTTGCATATGCATAGAGAGTAATGCTACGCTCAAGCTATTCACCGGACAAATGATATTGCGCTTATTAGTAAGGTCTACATACTTTACATATATTTTAACCGTCGGCAATAATTATATCGTTGCTCGTAAAACAAAATGGTTCGTTGAGCAAGACTCGCTATTATTTAATCAAATAAGCGACCTTGAGTTGCACAAGAATGCTATTGCACGCTCTCTTTTCTTATATCGAAAGAATATTTTCTATTAAATATTCATATACTTTATCTTTAAATTTTTTACATTTGTGACTATTGTAATAAGTATTTTAGAATTTCTTTTTATCTTTGAAATAATCTTGCTTTAGTTCTTTTTATTTAAAAAAAATTTGTTTTTAATAAAAGTTTTGCTTATAAAAGTTCTTAAAAAATATTTCGTAATAAAGCAATTGAGAATTTCTTAATTTATAGTTTGTAATGTAATTTTAATGAAATCATTTGTAATATTTTTGTAAGTGCAAATTTTTGTATTAAATAAGTTACGCTTTTCAAAATTTTGACTTAAATTTTTGTTATACCTAAGGCTAATTCTACAATGTGCTCTTTGTTTCCTGTTTCTTGCTGTTTGTCTCTGTTTGTCTCTTGCCTTTTTGGTCAATAAGACAAGAGACAAACAGCAAGAAACAAAAAACAGAAAGTACATTGTAGAATTAGCCTTAGTCAATTTGTTGTGTTAAACTAAGAAATGTTTGAATATTACTGATCTGTCAATAGCGTTATTGCGAAATCCTGCCATTGATGTTTTGATAAAATGTATGCTGTGTAGGCACTCTAGTAAATTACAGTCCTGCACTCAAACCGGCAGCTGTGTTAACCGAACAAGCGGCTCGCAATTGTAGAACACATATGTCAAAGTCATAGGGACAGAGTGCTGATTCAATCTGGGTATCTTTTTAGAAAACTCGAACGATGATTTGTATAAGTCATTTCGTCACGTTCTAAATCGATCCTCGCATGTAACGCACTTCATCCTTTTGTAAAAACAAGTATCCGATTTTTCTCATCTTTTGACAAGCATCGCATAAATCATTTTTCTATTAATTTGTACAACATATTAAATAAACATTATATAGACATGATATATGGTTAACGGTATTAAATATCTATAATAGGATACATAAAAAGAGGAGAAAGAGAGAGAGAGAGAGAGAGAGAGAGAGAGAATTCAATAATAAATCCAAAAATCCTTATTAATAATGGCATAAATTACACTTTCGCGTTTCTTGATCGCTAAATATTTAATAGAAGCTAATCGCTTTATGATTGATAAATCCTACTTAAGGATTAGTAAGTATAAATATATCTATATTCTATTTATATATATTATTGAATGTAGTCACTTTATATTCTTACCGAAATTCAAACACGCCTAATTAACATGATCCTAAGTAAGTTTTGTTTCGAATGGATCGAATATGAAACCTAACAATAGTTTCCATTTTCATACTATCAACAATAGAGTCATTATGAAAAAAGTAGGATCGCAGCCCCTTTCTCCCATTCACCACTAAATTTGGATTAACCTAATTCATTGTGCGAATATTCCCAAGCGCACTTAAGTCCCGCAAGGAAAAAAATAGAAGGGAAGGGGAACAAGAAAAAGAAAAAGTAGCCAGCGTGAAGGCTACCTACCTACCGTTAATCTGTACGTTAATGTGGCTCTGTGTACGAGCATAAGTCTCGCGTCATGCGAGATGCAAATGCGACTCATAGCATCGGTGTGAAGAATTTTTTGTTGCTGAACGATTCTTTCTCGTCATGTTTCTCGCATGAATCGCGCGATGTCGAATCAGATGATGCATTAATTAATTAGCACGTTCGTCTTCAGACGCATTAAAGCAGAGAATGAATAGAAAAGTGTACAGACAAAAAGGCATAATATGATGAGGCTTACTCTAACGAGCAAAAATCAACCATAACAATGGCAATGTTTAATGCATAAGTTTTTTTAAGAGTATATAAAGATACTTTATGGATATTTTAATTTGCAGAATTAAGATATATGTATATAACAATAATTAAAAATGAGTTAATTAATTTAATAATTCATTAATTTAATAATTCACAGAAAAAATGTACTAAATTTTAATAAATATTTGTTTGAATAATGCCAGTTGAATATTTGTTAAATGTACTTATTTGATACTATTAATTTGATTTAACTATTATTAGTTTTTATTTAGCAAATATTTATAAACAATTACTTATTAAAATTTAGTACATTTTTCTCTCAATATACACACACAATTGTAATAATATAAATTATTTATGTACATTACATTAAATATTGAAATGTAAAATCTTATTGTTGACGAGAATATCGTTAGACTTAATTATTTTCAAGTCCAAGGTTTTTGACTATCTTATTTGATTTCGTCGAAGTGACAAATATCGTTAGAATAGGGATAGATGGTCGTTAGCTAGCAACGTGACAAGACATACGAGCATTTGCGAACGCACAATCCATTATAGAAGATAAGATGATTATTAAATAATTACCGTTAAGAAAAATTGTGGAATGAGTTTTCTTCTATCATCAATCTCTTACACTTACATTAGTGTACATACCAACATGTTATAATATAAATTAACTATTATTTTTTATATTGCAATAATTTTAATTGTAACATTGTAATTATGAATCAACATAAAAATTTTGGAAAAAAACAATAGCATTAGAGAAAACATTGATTTGATCGATTTAAAAAGGACACTAATGCAATAAATATTACCGAATTTAATCGCTCAAACTTAATCCTTTACAAATATCTAATACTAATATATTTTTCAATACGTTATTTAATGATTCAAATCATATATACGGATGACTTCTAAAAGCTATTCTTTTATTTCTTAATGTTATCTTAATTAATTTATCTATTTACTCTAAAATACAATGGTATCATATTTATTCAGATGTCATTTACTTTATTATTGGATTACTGTACAAATTGTATTATCATTAAATCTTTGTTACATTTTTATCTTAGTATATATATATATCAGTCACTAATTAATGGATAAATCATAATGAATTATATTCTTAAAAATGTATAGATATATATTATTTTCACATTTAAATTAATCCATTCTCTACAAGACTATAATGAACTAGCGTAACCCTTGCAGGCAAACCCGGAAGATTATGACCAGTTTCCAACAAGTTAAAACGCAATACATCTAATCCACGGCTCACATCTAATTCTGTGATCTCAGTCTCACAAACGCACGATCTTCTCTGAATTCATAAGGCAATAAGTATCCAAAAATAACGATTAACAATGGAAGAAACACCCCCAAGCAACGAGAGCACTTTATATGCAAGATTTCGTAGCAGTTGCCGCAACCGGGAATCTTATGACACGCTCGCGGAATTGGCGGCTGAATTACGACGTGCCTATATGGTGAAAGGGCTGCAGGCTCAGCTTGATGAGAAACAAGCTCACAAATATGCCGAGCTCGTGCGAAAACGCGAGGTCGCCGACTTGATCCGTCAGGAACAACAGGAAGTGTTGGAGGAGAATCTCCGATGTCAGTCGGAGACGCTACGGAAATCGAAAGAATACAGACAGCAATTGGACGAGCAGTTGACACGAAAGGAGGAACAAAAAAGAGTCATTGTGGAGGAGGCTCGCGAGTACAGGAAGTTCTTGGAAGAAGTAGACCGAGAGCAAGAAGAGCAGGAGCGCACAAAGGCGGTGGAGAAGAAATGCGAGCTTGTAGAGAGGACGAGACAAGAGAGACTGATCCTCGAGAAAATAAGGGAGGCCCGTCGACAGGAGGAGCTCGAAGCAGAAGAGAAGAAGCGACTGAAAGATCTAGAGTACTTGAAGGAGATAGAGGAGAGATCGAAGGAGATGAGCAGACTCCGACAGGAGCAGTTAGAGAGGCGCGAACGTGTCCTGCTGGAAACAACTAGGATACTGCTGGACGCTCAAGCTCAAAAACGAGAGAGAGAAGAGCGACTGATTGATCTCGTAGCGGAGGAGATCAGGTGCGAGCTTGTAATCAGGGAGATGGAGGAGACGATGCGTAGGAAAAAGATGCAGCAAGAACTGGCAGCTAGTTTACGGGAACAGATAGTCTTCACGGAACAGTGCAGGCTGCGTTTCGTTGAGGAGGATAGAGCATGGGCCGAGGAAGTCATGAGGAAGATTATGGAAGATGAGAAGATGGCAAGGTGCACGGCCGAGGCGAAAAGAAGGATGAAAATACAGTACCGGAAGGACCTGGAGAGTTTGATTGAACACCGCCGCAGGATTCGCGAGGAGGAGATTGCTAGGATTGAGGAAATCGCTAAAGAGCAACAGAAATTGGAACTACTTGAGGCGGAACGTGCGAAGGAGGAGAGAAAACGTTTGTTGATGATACACGCAGCTAACATTGCAAACTTCGTGAATAGAGCGACTCTTACGTCTGAGGAACAAGAGATTCTTGACAAATTAACGAAGAAAAATCAAGACACTAAAAATATTGATAATGGAGACGTGAAAGATTGAATGAGATGATAAAGCCGTCATTAAAAAAATTTCATCTCTAGATAGTAGTGTCGGTGAGAAAATCGTTGAGAAGGTAGAGAAGATAATAACGAAAAATATTGTACTATCCACGGAAATGGTCGATCGGGACTCATCGCAGTATTTGCAGTAAGTAGAACTTGTAGGACGGTTAATAAAGAGAAAGAAGCTAAGGTCGAAGAGAATAACATCAAAGTGAAAAAAGAAATACAATATTATATAGGTAGAAAAAGAATTGGAAAAAGGTAGCGATCGAAAAAATAAAATCCAAATGAAATATCGAGTGAAATACAGTGATTGAAAAAACAAACTAAACGCCGACAGTAATATTAATGTTAAAATTAAAGAAAAAATACATTTCTTCTTTTTTCAATTTTACGTGTTTATTAATATAAAAAGAAAAATGCACAGAACATTAAATTAACTTTATTATTTGCTTTTAAAAAACTTCATCGACTGTTTTATTAATATTTTTAGAAAAATAAATAAAGAATTAATAAAGATTGCATATATATATAATAATTGCGTTTAATAAAAAATTGATTATTGGGATGGAGTCCTGGTTTATTTATGTACCGTTAAGAGAGAGAAGAGAGAAGAGAGAAGACCATGCGATGTCAAGAACCGTTAAAATAGTCGATCAGATTAACGAGATACGAATGAGACTTATTCTGAGACAGTTCGGAGACAGTTCTATATTTTGAAAAAGATAGAACCAGAGAAAAGAACGTTAGGAGAAAGCCAATTAAAAAAAATTATCTCCAAGAATGGACTCAAAAATAGTACGCAGAAAAGAAATAAAAGTCATTTAAAGTAGACATACACGAAGGACTTCTCAGAAATAATATTTATTAAAAATATGAACTTTATCGAAAATAAATTCGCATAGTATTAATATTGAAATAATGATTTTGGGGTTTCACAATGGCAAATTATTTTTAATTAATAATAAATATTAAAGTATTATATAGATAGTTATAATTATAATGTGTAGAATTTTAAGTTAAAGATATTATCATTAAACTAATTTTTTAAATTTTATATATATATATTCAGTTTTCAAGAGAAATAGCAATTTTTGACGGAAATATATCTAAAAATTGTATTTTGGTGAGAATGATAGGCAACGGTCGAAAGGAGCGGAAACTATTTTGTTGAACAGGATGAAGTATCTCGTAAGAAGGTCACGAAGGAAACCGCGAAAGACAGGAGAAAAAACCGGAAATTGTGACGGAAGTTAAAAAACCAATAGACGTTCAATGCCACAGAGCTTGTGCATATGTTCAAGTTAACTATGTCGCAAGATATATCCGCTAAATTCAGTTTGTTAAAACGAAATTGGTGAAAGTAGAGTAACAAAAAATGTGTAAATATAAAACGTTTATATGTACAATAATAAAATATTCGACACATATAAAATATTATTTAACCTTAATCGATATTAAGTTAATCGGCCTTTATCGATATATTCGCGGATTTAGTATTTACTTTAAATGAATGTATCTTTGCTTAAAGTAGACATATTAGGTGTTGGAATTAATTCGTAGCGTTTTACAAGTGATGGGAAGTACTTTCATTAATGTATTTTTTAATGCTCATGTGAAATAAATAACATTCTTTCATTAAAAACGCTACGAATTAATTCCAACACCTAATAATTAAACGACTTTTTTTGAAATTCAAAATCCGAGAAATAAGATTATATAACTTAAAATTGTATAAGATTATGAAAAACATTTGTTATAAATAATTTTTTACAGCATAGTTGAAAAAATGTCCAAGTTCCTTGAGATCCGTGAATTCCAATGAGATTTAAAATAAAAATGAACTATAAAAATAAATATTTTTTTCAATTACAGATAAATAGTTTAACTATACTATGCACATAGTTTGATTTGTTGTATTTATGTGATGCGTGTCTTTTAATTAAATCGCAAATTATAATTCTGACTCCTAACACGTTCGGCCCTTTTGCTCTCAGGACGTGAGTTATCTCACGGCATGACATAGAGTTATGTAGTGAGATAACTTACGAATGTAGAAAGATCAAGCAAGCTTGACACGTGTGTGTGCGGTAATTTATTCAAATATATTAAAATTACAGTGACTATCGATTGATACTTGATTTTTCCTGTTATCGAAACCTTAAATTATTGTTAACGCAAAGTATGTTGCAAAATAATGCGGCTTATGCTTATATGGTAACATGATTGACATACAAATTGCGTATAATATTCTCTTAATATCCGTTATCCTGCTGCATATTAATCAAAGTATCGAGATAAGGATATAATGACTAAGAATGTATCCTGAAAATCTCTAAAAGTCAAGTTGGAGAAACATTATAGATTTATAATTATATTTGAAAAAACTGGATATTCGTAATTATTATCGATATTATTATCGATATTATAGTATTCAAAGGTAAAGTTTTTTCTATTGTTATCGTTGTACGTACAAATTTATTCGATAATTCACGTATCTTTCAGCATAGGCAACCTAATAGCAATAAATTTTTAAAATCAATACACCGCTTCCTTTCTTCAAAAATAACATAACTTAAAAAAATTTATTTTCAAATTATTAATGTTATATTACAGAGATTATACGTATTTATATTATGTTCACACTTTATGTATGGATCTATGTATTTATGTGTTAAAATCAAGGAGAGTATTTAAACAGAATTTTTTGGTCTCTAGATAATATTAACAGATATGTTTAATAATATCCGCAAGACTATTAGACGGAACTCTTCCGAACATTTAGTATGAGATAGCACGAATATGCTCCCTTAACACCTGTCGCCAGGTGTTACATGTCTGTTAGAATGTCCAAAGATTTCCCATGAGAGACATTACTCGAGTAATTTTCAAGAAATTTGCGCGTCCGTTACTAAATTGTATTATTTAACACAATACAGTTCGAATAGAATATATAATTTATTGTGAAAATGTTATTTGCTGTAAAATTAATTTAAATAATAAATAATATTTTTTATTCCATAATTCGTCTTCTACATGTAATCAATTGTGATATCATCAGTTATCGATTTTAAATGACACTGTTAAAAATAAAATGTTAATTTTTTGCTTGTCTCAGAAAATCTACTATACTTTTTTAAAATAAAATTAATTTTTTATTTTTGACAATGTAAAATATAATTATTGAGAAGAAGCTTTTGTTTTATGTATATTTTTTGAATAAGCCTAATTCAACATATACTTTTTAAATTAATGTCGTTTGTTTACCATGTAATATGAAAATAGTATTTTATGAAGCATATAATTATTTGTGAAAATTAATTAAGCTTAATTAAATTTAATATTTCTAATTATATTATACACATGGAGGTGTGTGTGTGTGTGTGTGTGTATATATATATATATATATATATATATATATGTGTGTGTGTGTCAATTCGTAGAAAAAAAATGGAACATATTATTCAAAAGAAGAAAGATGACGATGCTTTAGACTGATTGTCATAGATATGTCGCCTACAGAGTTCGTATTAATTAAGGTCATGTCAGAATGAAATCTCGACATCACAATCTATATAATTAAATACGATCGTCCCGAAGACTTGATATCGCTACTTGAATAATTCGAGTATCGATACCAATTCCATAAACGTTTTACTCGATACTGATATCCCTCTGTAAGAGGCTTTCCATGTCTATTCAGAAATAATGACATGTCCATCCTCGTAACAACATAAGCAGTATTTATGACTAATTTTATTTATTCATTTAAATATTAAAAGAAAATAATAAAGACGTAAAAAACATTTGTGTCAATGTCTCAATTACAGTTTTCTCTGATATAATCAAAAATACAACTGACATTCAATATTAAATAATACTACAAATAAATTATTATTACGAAAAAAAACAGCTTAATTAATCGTTTTAATACTACTATATATTACTAATATTTTTATTAAAAATCTCTCTTTATATAATTATATAAATAAAATTTATATAAAATAAATGAAAAATAAGGAAAAATTCTTCTCAAGATTAGACGATTTCTCTAATAATATTCGTTTATGTTAAGAATTTGTTAGAGAACTCTAAGTTTTAGTTAAAATTTCTAAGATGATAAGATTTCCCCTTATTAACTATCAGTTATATTGCCGAGCGTAACTAGAATAGAAGCATTACCGCATGCTGCGCATTAAATCATTAATATCCTGGATAAGATACAAGTGTGGCTTATATTTCCAATCACCGACAACTAATTACATTGTGTGTAATAAGTCTGTTGATCGAGCGTGCGCAGTCAATGTAATCGAGTCAGTCTGGCGGCGGTTAAACATGTGCAAGAGTTCGTGTGCAAGAATGCGAGACAAAAATTTAACATTGAAACGGCTCGTTAAATAATTATCGCACCGCAAGATTATATCTGAAAATTCACTGCTCCTATCGATCGCTGAACGAGCGGTAACAATAAGTCGACGATAAATCCATTGCCGATCGTGCCTGTCACGTGCCACTCGGCAGACTACTTCGAGTTTCGAAATTATGTCCTAATAACAACCCTCCATCCTTATAAATTGTTCGCCACGTTGTAAATTGTTCGCGTGGAAGCCACGAGAGCTGCTTCTAGAATTAACACCGTGATGTTAATCGAGACACTCGTCAGGCCGGTTTTTAATAGGGTATCGGTGCACTACTTTATTACTACTACTGTTATACTTATTGAAATTTTGCAAAAAATTTCTTATTTTTCATAATATTGATTTCATTCTAAACATAGAAAGGAACAAGCAGTCGCGAATATATTAACATTGACTTTGTGTTCGAGATATGATTTTAAACAGACAATGCATTGAAAGAAAATCTTTCGAAAAATGTTAAATTCTTATTTCATTATTACTGTTATAATAATTGTATTACAAGTTGCTTTAAAAAGCTTTAACTTTATACGCGCGCGTACGCAAATTATATTATATTATACATTTGATACACTTCATTAAT